TGAGGTGGTTCGGGCATGTCCGACTGGGAGGAGACCCCGGGGAAGACCGAGGACACGCTGGAGAGACTATGTCTCTTGGTTGGCCTGGGAATGCCTTGGAATCCTCCCAGAAGAGCTGGAAGAGAGAGATGTCTGTGCCTCCCTGGTCAAGCTGCTGCCCCCGCGACCCGACTTCGGAAAAAGCGGAAGATAATTGATGGAATTACAACAGTGGCCATTTTAGCCTCTTTTGGGGGGAGTTCAACAGCTCTAAGTTTTAACAGTTGGCACCCCTGAGAAATAAAGTTAATTTTTTTATTTTTATTTTGGCTGTCCTGGGTTTGGGTTTTGGATTCTGATTTATTACATTTATGATTCAATGCAGCAAAATAAACAATTTTAAAAGGTAACAGATCTTTGTAATATTTGGTTTATTTACATAATAATTAAGATGGATAGAGCTCTGTGACCGACCTCATGAGCAGCTGAAAACAGCAGTGATAAACAGACAGCACCACATGTTCATCTGTACGAAGGAAAATCTTCCATTTTCTGTTATAATTGTACAGTATGATTAATGGTTAAATTAAAGGTTAATGCTTAAACCTAGTTGTGCTTCATTCAGTTGTGTAGATATGTTGTAACTTCTGGTTGCATTAGTTTAGTCTTTGTTATGATCAGTTAACACTAAACAAATTCTGTACAAAGCATTTTTTATGTTGTGTAATGTAAAGCAGAGCGCTGTCTTTAGCATCTTAGCTAGCGCATCTGTATCGTACACCGCTAGCTTAGCGCTACTTCTTGTTGTGCCGAGCTCTCTAAAAAAAGTTATTGAATCAAGTGTTCACTTATGTAGGTAAACAGATGTTTAACAACCTGTTAAAATACACCAGAATGCAGGAAATGGCATCTACCTGTACTTTATTCAAAATTTTCTATGGAAGGACCCCCAGACCCCCCCCCCCCCACCACCACCACCAGTGTGTCCCCCCCCACATAATGAATGCTGCTGACACCAATGGCCACCACATTGTTCAAGCCAAGAGCCACTGATTGTCAGCACTGGGGGGGCTAAGCACCCCTAAAGGTCAGATTGTAGAATCGCTCGTGAATTACAACAACAGTGAATTCACATTTCTGATTGGGTTTTGTTGTCAACACAGACTATCAGTGTTTTTGGATGTTCCCATTTGTAGACAGCCCCTCAGGTCTTGTTAAGCCTCGCTGTAGTATCAATTTGTCTTTTGTTTTTTGGTTTACACTGGATACAAAGCTAAACACAACACCTACTGCACATGCACATCGATTCTGCTGCAAACCAGTGTACATTTGATCATAAGAATACCTTTTTACCATCTTTTATTTTGTCCCAAGGCACCTGGCAGGCGCTGCACTATACTTTTGATTGTTCACTTTTATTCCTTAGTTTTTTGTTTGTGTATGCACAAGTTTTGTCTACAAATAGAGTCATGTTTTCATGTCATCAACACTGTCCAACCAATACAAGTCAAAATATTAATCACAGTGGAACAGCAATAAAAAAAATCAACATCTATTTTTTTTCAGTGTCCAAGTAAAACTCCAAAGCTAACGTACACAAAACAGTACGGTAAAATAAAACTAAGGGTGGCACAGGAGGACAAGTTTGGCTATTAGATCAAAGGAAAAGCACCAGATTTCACTTCTAACACACAAAGGTTGACTGTTTCTGTGCTTTAGCAAAATTAAGTTTTCCAGTTACACACTGCAGCATTTTAAGGCTCCCACATACGCAGGCGTACTTCACTCTGCAGAGGTCTGCGCATACTGGATTAGACTCAACGGGGACTTGAAGTGGACGGCTGCACAAAGATCAATTTTTAAGACTGCATATGCGTACTCTGTGTCGCACAATAAACTGCCCGGAGACGGACTGTTTTTTTGAGACACCAATGTATTAAATTCTCCTTCTTCATCCCTGGTCTGGTTTAATGGCCTTTTCTGTGAGAAATGAAGGAGTTTGTCATGAGAGAATTAAAATCAGGCTCGGCATGGCTGGGGGGGGTGGGGTCTGGAGATTTCCCGGTGAGCCAGTCTGATGCATGGGCTGCAGGGCCAGCGCTTCCTGTTTTTCTATTTTTTTAGAATTTTTTATTAACAACAAGTAAACACAGAACACTGCTGCCACTGTTCCTGGGCTACGACCTGTCAATCAGTCCAGTAGACGTGTCAGCAAATGACCAATCGGCAACCTCAATTTGTCCCAACGGTAAACGCCCCTTGCCTGCGGAGCTGGGCTGCAGCCCATCAGGGTGTACGCTCGAGTATTAAGTCTCAACCGTCTGCGGACAGTGTCCACATGGCTCACGGAGTACACACAGTACACCCAAGTATGTGGGAGTCTTTAGCGTTTCTTAAACTGGTCTCAGAAGCTCTGTAACTTTCTTCTTCACATCTGGAACAGAACCAGAAAAGGGCTTAATTTTCTTTTTTTTTCTTCTTGTTTTTTTTTTGTTGAAAAGTTGAATGAAGCCTAATTACATCCACATGTTGTGTAATTAGGCTTTTAAAAAAAAAAAAAAAAAAACCTAGCTAAGGTTTGAAAAGCACTAAATAGTCTGGATCAGTGTTCTAGAAAACAATCTTTTTACAGAATTGTTGCTGTGGCCTTGAAATGTATCTAATAAAATGGACGGGGTGGCTGTGGATGAGCAGTTAAAGCATTCGCCCTCGAATGAGAGAACTTGGGGTTCAATTCCATCAATATGCATTCACATGTGGAAGTGTCTCTGGGCAAGACACTGAACGCCTCATGGCCTCTGACATGTGCACCATCGGTGTATACCTGATCCAAAGCCCTGATTAGTCCCTGTGAAAAAACATTGCACAGGTTAGCTTTATAAAGATGTAGTGGATTGTTATGTGGATGGTAAATGAGGTCAGATTTTGTTGTAAAGTTCTTTGTGTATCCTAGCTGGATTTAAAAGCACTTTATAAGTACAGCCCATTTACAGTGTCAGTCACTCAGACACAAACCACATGAGTAAATAGATTAAATATATAAAACAAATTATTTCAATTCCAAAATATTTAATCAAGGGATGGAATATTTCAGACACTTTTCATGCTGCCAGGTAACCCATCAGACTTCTGAAGTCTCTTCTGCAACACTCCAGATATTTTGTCCTCATTTAAAAAAAAACTTACAGCTGTATCAAAATACAGAGAAAGAATATTCTGTTTGGTAAATATTTTTCTTAAAGGGATTTCAGACTAGTTGGAACAACAATCCTTATTTCACTAACACTTACTTCAGCTATAAAAAAAATTGACTGTTAAAAACTGTAGGCAATTTAGTTGTTATAATCTTTTTAAAATTTATGATGTACAGACATCACCATTTTATTTATGTTGCAATGCATTCTGGGCACATTGACAGGTTGTAAGCTTCATTCAGCTTGAGTGTTAATTTGGACATTATCTGACATTCGGCACTTTAATTTGAACTGGAGCATGTTGACAAAGAGCCGAATACAGAAATGACAGCTTTAGCATTAGCTTTAGCTTTAGCAATAGCTCCAGAGCTAATATATTTGACGTTAGTTCCGAAGCTAATCACGTTTGCTCCAAGTCAAGTCAAATTTATTTATAAAGTACATTTAAAAACAGGTTGTTACCAAAGTGCTGAACAATAAAAGACAAAGGCAGAGATTCAAAGAAAAACAATAAAATCAATTCAGTTAAAAGCATCAGAAGAATGCATAGAACACAGAATAATAAAAAGCTAAAACAACTCACACAGGGTTAGTGAAAACTGATGTGTTTTTAAAAGAGATTTAAAAACAGGAAGTGAAGTGGCCAGTCTAATGCTGGGCAGCAGATTGTTCCAAAGTTTAGGAGCCACAACGGCAAAAGCACGATCTCCTCTGAGCTTCAACCTGGTTTTTGGGAGGACAAAAAGCTCAAGCACTGAGATCAGATGAACTCAGGGCATGAGAAGGAACATATGTAGGTCAGAGAGGTTTGAGGGTGCAAGGCCATTTAGGCACTAGCTCCAGATCTATTTGATCCAGAGCTAAGATATGGCGTTAGCTCCGGAGAAAATAAATTAAACAGAACATGTTGATCACATTTGACTTTTTCAACCCATATATTGAGCATAAGAACTAATACAAAACAACTCTATTGTCATGTTATACATTTTTAACCTTGACTCCTTGTGGTTTAGTCTTCACTACAACCGATGTACATCATCACCCAGAATGCAATGCACTGGTAAAGTAATAGTGGCGTTCTTAGGTGAAAAATGTAATGATCATATTTGTAAGACTGAGCTGAACACAGCTCCTCAAACTGAAGAAGTCTTTCGGATGAAAGACGAAACGTTTTTACAGTTTTTGTTTTGTTTTTTGAACGTCCAGAGGACATGTCGTAACTTTTTAAGATTTTTCTACCTGGATTATTGAGCATGCATCAGGATGCATATGATCATATACCATTTTTAAAGTCATTAGAAGTTTTCACGTGACACAACTTTTAGTAGAATAGAGAAATAACATATTAAGGCAAGTAGTCTGAGATCCCTTTTTACTTTTTTTAAACCCTTTACCCTTTTCTTTCACTTACTGATAAAGTTGAATGGCGACAGGATCAGGGTGAAGGGAGACAGATACAGACATTAACAGCTTCATTGTTGTTCAGCTTTCCAGGGCACAGATTTGTAGAGGCCATGCACCAGACAGGCTGCTGTTTCTCCCAAGTTCTGTAGTTCCAGTTCAAAACTAAATTTTACCACCATAACTTTTCTTACCAAAACATGAAGTTCACTGGTTGATGTGATGTGCAAACGTAGCAAAAAGCTAAAAAAACCAACAAAAAAAACAGATATATACAGTATATCTGGAGTAGTGTGGAAGGAGCTTCACTGTGGTACCTTGTGACCAGCATGTCTAATTGGTCCATACTGACTCATTTACTGACTGATGATATTTTATTGTAACTGACTGTGCAGACAGTAGTGTTAGTAAAATAATGGCCCCTCATCATGTCCAATCCTGTTGCAGACTGATGGGATTTACTGTCTTCAGCAGACATTCTCACTCATTTGCTTCGATCGCTCCTCTTTCAAAGTAAAGTTTCCTACACAAAGCAAGATGGACAAGAACGTCAGATTTTCAAAAATGTCATCTTCTTTTTGGTAAGTTCACTTTAAACTGAACTCACTGCTGAGCTTGAGGGTCAGATGTTTGCTTCCTGTGGACACTGAACTCTGCTGGTTTGTTGTCAAGTAGCTGGCTCCTGAACTTTCTTCTCTCCTTCTTGAACCCTGGCAGGGATGCCTCTGCCTTTTCAGCCAACAAAAAGATGAATTTCTGATCAAATGGGGAGTATCACACCACAACCAGTTTAAACTCCCCTGTTCAGGAAGCCTAGTGAAAAAATAACATCCTACCTGTAAGGTGGACTGCATTGTTGTCCCCAAGGCAAGATTGGAAGACACATGTTTCCTTAGTGATGGACTTCTGTTAGAAAATACCACATTTTACTATAAATATGAGCTGCAGGCAACATATCAACAGGCAAGAAGAATACTGTACTAAATATGTAATCCAGTGTTAAAAAGTGTAACCCAGTGTAGTTTGAGTGATGGACCGAACAACCAATAGCCTCACATAGTCTGATTTGACATCAGCCAATAAGGTTGATGTCAGAGGTTGATTGTCCCGCCCCTTTTTTTTTCTCCCACTGCCGCTCCATGATTTCATCAGAGGAAGAAACGGTGAAGCAAGATTGAACTGACTAAATGATCATAGCTTCAGAAACTCGAAGATCGAAAGCTGCAGTTGTGAGCAGAGTGAAGTCCGGTAATCTCCGTTGTAGCCTTGTGCGGCATCGGTCAGGTTTTTGGAGTGGGTGCACTATTCACCCATCCACGTGTTGCTGAGAGGATAAATTGATGGCGAGCCCCCAGCCCAAAGGATCGAACAAAAACTGGTTGATAGTGACCCCCACTGGTCACAACAAAGGAGAAATTTAATGAACTCATAATTCATACGTGAATTGAATTGTACTGGACATCCTGGGAAGCTAAAGATTTATCTAAGCTTCCTTTGGAGTCAAACTTTACCACATACAGTAGATAGGGTTATTTTCTTTACCTTGTATTTTTCATTCTATTCTGTATTATTTTTTATTTTTTGTAAATACTTTATTCTAATTTGTATTTTTTCTAACAAGCGCACAATTTTGCTTATTATTGTCATATATGCAAACTGAATACATTATTCATTAAATTTTATTTCTTTTCTATAAACTGTGTGCAATGTCTTCTGTTGTTATTCACATTTAGTCTCCCAAGAATCCAGAGTCCTCTGATGTGGCCCAACATTTCCTCCTAGGTGTTAGTATTGGTAATAGTAGTTTTAGTAATTTACTTTTACCATATCAGCTAACTAATAGAAGGAGTACCGTACTTGAAGGAACCCACATAGTGGATTACAAATATGTTTCTGAAAGCACACCAGAGTAATAAGTTGAGACTTCAGTCAGTTGGAAAAATAAGACAGTTCCCTTTTATTATCAGAAGACCTTTGACACGATCATGTCAGGCATGTTTCTTTTTTACAGGATTTGGCCAGTTTTCACAGTTTCATACTGGTTAGACTTTTTGCCTCAAACTTTAATTATAGGAACGTTACATTTGATACTCTCAGTACTCTTTGCAAGTTAAAAATGTATGAAAGATATTGTAACTAACACAAGCCAATAGTTTTTTTAAACTCATGTTCATGAATAGTCTGGTGTGATTGGCTGCAGGATTTTTTTACCCAGTGATCCTCTGGGATCTCCTCCTTTGGTATTCCTCCTCGTCCACCATCCACACAGCCCCTTTCACATTCTCCACACGTACAAAACATTTATGCAGGCTCAGGTTGTGGCGAACAGCGTTCTAATTGGGAGTAATGCAAATATTACTAATATTACAGAATGCACATGACATAAATGTGCGGTGACACACAGAGTGAGCACAGCTCTGAGGCTATGGTACCTTCCAAGTGGCAGCATTACGTCTGAAATAAGCAAACGTCTTTGTGAACCAGTTGTAGATCTCACTGAGTGTTAGCTGCATGTCTGATGCCTCCATGATGGCCTACAGATGGAAAGGAGAGAGAAAATGTAAAACATTGCAGGATACGGCTGAAGGTTCATTCTCTTCCATAAAGCCTTTCATAACTCCACATACTGGTTCACATACATTTTTCTAAATTTTGCTGAACTCAATCAACCATAATTCAGGATTGTATTTGATTTTATATAAATTTAAGATGTGTGCAGTGAAAGTTCAGGTCATTTCAGTCAGAACTGTTTTTTTTTTTTTGTAACCATGACTGGTGACATTATTGGACTGATCAAGACGCTGACAGTTTTTTCATAGTTAAACATTTTTTAGGCCTTTCCACCATCAAATGCTGCCGTAAGAAAGCTTTAACTCATGAGGTTTGACTCAACAATAAATACACAAAAGGTGCATGTGATTTTGTGTTCCGGTGCCTTCTCACACTGTTTTGGAGTTGGCAGGAGTGTCGTGTTTCACTGTTGAGGGTCAACTTTAATGCAGGTTTAAATAGTTGTAGAAGAACAGAGGTCAGAATAAATCTGTGGGCCTGAACACTAAGAGGCTCCAAGTCCAAAGGGTTCAAATTCACCCTCAGTGAGTAAAAATTAAGGCTCCCACATACTCAGGCGTATTTCACTCCGCAGGGGTCTGCTCGTACACGATTAGACTCAACATGGACTTGGAACAGACACCCTCAAGCCATGTCTGCACAAAGATCAATTTTTACGACTGCGTATGCGTACTCGGTGTTGCAAAATAAACTGCCCGGCGACGGACTGTTTTGGATGCAACACCAATGTATTAAATTCCCCTTCTTCATCCCTGATCTGGTTTAATGGTCTTTTCGTTTGTTTCTTTTTTTCCCAAGAGGCAAGCAAACTCTTCATCTTCCATTGACGCCATGACTGAAATTTTGAGAAATGAAGGAATTCGTCATGAGAAAATTAAAATCAGGTCCAGTGTGGCTGCGGGAGGGTCTGGAGATTATCTGTTGGTCTTATGTGTGTGTAAGGATGGCGCCATCTTGTGGGCCTTCCTTGTCTGTGTTCCCTTGTGTGTCATGATTCCTGATTATTTGCACCTTCTGTTCTCAACTGTTTGTAATCACGTCCTGTCTTATCTGTGTATTTAAGCCTGTCTGTGAGTCTTGTCCTTTGTCACGTCATCGTTGGGTCTGTCCTGTCGTGTTCCAGTCTTGTATCTCCAGAGTGTGAGTTGCTGCCATGTCAGCACTTTTGATTTATTAAATATAT